GAAGCACTTAGACGAGTATCTTGTTTAAGTTACAACAATTCAGATACGGCTATAAATTTGGCTAAAAATTATTGTACATATCGTGGAGTAAAATGATGCTGGAAAGCAAAAAAAAAAGTTTAGAAGTTAAGCAAATGAATGTAATTATAAAGACGAAATCTGCTGTAACTACTTTCTTCTTTTAAAGTTCTTAAAAAGCTGATTCCTGTTGCTTTGTCAAAATCTGTTTTAAAAGTTCTGTTTGAAACAATACTACTCACCTGTGTTTATTTGAAATTTATTTGTTATGATTATCTTTTGATGAAAATATTTTGCAATCATAGATTGAACAATTTTTTTTCAAATTTCTTATTAATTTTTTGATATTTTATCATTAGATTCAGACTGTTTAATTAGTATATACCCAAAAATTACTTGGAATCTGAACAGTGATAATTATTTGAAATTATCTTCAAAATTAGAAAACCTTGAATAACTGTTTGTGACATGGTAAGATAGGCAAAAAAAATCTAAAATTTATTTGAGAAATTACTATACCAAAGGTACTTTTTACACATATTTATGGAAGTGTGATTTTGGTTACGATTCTACACGCTCGTTCTACAAGCAGATCAGCTATACTGCTATCTTTTGTTGCATTTATTTCAATTGGATTAAACACAGGGATTATTTTTCAAATATTTCATGTGCTTCGTCACTTTGGAGTTTTTGGAAATGATCTTTTATGAAGCGATAAAACATAATTTTTTCTTGTAATTACTTTATTATATTTTTGTTCTTGCGTCTTTTGAAAAAGTAAAGACGTTTTTCTAAACTTTCGTAATTTCAGTTTTATTCTTTTGTTGTTCCATGGATTAGTTATGCTTTTTTATGGTTTAATAAAAAAGAGTTTTATGAACAGTGTATTCTAGCTATCAGTGCTGAGCACCAAACACTGCTGCCAGTAGAAAAGGTGAATATTTCTTTTGTAACTTTTTACAAACTTAATCTAACAAAATCTATGGTAAATCGGTTCTTTTTTTTATGTCTATATGTTACAGCTGACAAACTTTTGGTTGAATTTGCGTTAGATGGTGGAGAAAGGTATAGGGAAAATTATGGAAAAGGTGCTTCAGAAGCTGCTAAATCAAAGTTACATTTTGGCTTAGATTTCTGCGCTGTTAAATCTCTTGAAGAGGTTGCAGGAACCTAGCCGTTTGATATTTCCGTCTAGAAGAGGATTCGCTAAGTTATGTGTCATTTGTCTGCGCCATTTAATTGTTGTTTTATAGTTATCTGCACTGAATCTGTCTGTCTTTGAAACAAAGGCTACTGTAAAGCCTATTTGCAAGGTTGTAAAATGTGTGTAGGTGTAAACCATAAAGATTGTTCAGATAATTTCTGTAATCTAATAGGACTGCCCTTGTTTAAGCTTTTTTGCAAAAAAAAAAATAATGCTTTTATTTTTAAAAGGAAGAGAAATAGAGGAGGAGATGATAATAGTGGATAAAGGTAAATTTTTTTTGTTTTAAAACAGTTTTTGTTCTTTTTTACAATCACGATTAATGGAACATTTTGATGATAAATTGGTTGTACTTTTGTGTTGCATCTTTTTCTTTTTTAGCATTTAGTATCTGAAAACCGCTGAGGTCTTACTAGATCTATAGTTGTTTCTAGAAAACTTTGTTTTAACTTTTCTTGCCCTGAATTTTCTTTTTTTTTTTTATCTTTTTTATCTGCACTGCTAAAAGAAATTTATTGTTAGCGTATGTATAACAACTCTTGCCTCCCTTTCTAGTTTTCTTCCTTTCTTTCTACTCATTCTCATCATTCTGCATTCTGCTTCTACGTGATTATAAAGTTGTCTAAAATTTTTGGTTTGTAATATGACGGATTGAAAAAAAGAAATTTGTAAACCCTTTAGAACAATGAGCAAAAAAAAGCTGCCACATATTTGTTGGAAGTACATAAACAATATATACTAAAATTTTGAAAAATTAGGTTGAGTAAAAAGTGTATCTTACCAATTGGAAGTCTTTGACGTTATCATTGTTATTCTTCTTTTGTCAGACAATGAGAGTAATTTATAAAACAAGATTTTTTTACTTTTCACGAGAGTATTGCTTTTTATAATGTTAAGTTGTGTTTTAGCTAACTATTGCCCAGATATATCATTTGTAAATTTTAAGCACTTTGGATAGCTGGCTGTGAAGCAATTATTTAACCGTTTGAGAAGTTTTTTACCGCTTTGTTAGTTTTTTTTCAATTTTGTAGTTTGCGTATGTTTTAAGCTTTGCCGAGCAGTGTTGTGATGTGTCAGTGTTTTCAGGTGCACGTTTTTTAAAAACGTGGGGTATCTCTGGTAGAAGCAGCAACATGCTGCCCAATAGTATCCTGTTTTGCCTAAGCACATCGCTTCTAGCATCGTTTTCTACTGCCTCATATGATTTTGGTCATGGATCAGACACACAGGTCCGTAGCGATTTTTCCAATTAAAATTTGCTTTTTTAAATTTAGGTTGTCAGAATTAATTTTCCACTATCAAAAATTAACGGAATTTTGTTTGACAAATTTGTAAAAGGCATTTATTT